GGTTCATGGCAGCATAGCCCCCCACAAGTTCGAGCAGGTCAAGCAGCAGCGCAAACTGCAGAAAACGAAGCCAAATTGCATTCCGTCTCAGCTCCTTGACCACGAGCAGGATCAAACAATGAGTGATGTAATGAATGTTGTTGTGTTGCGGTAGAAGAACATCCTGCACCACTTGGTGCGGCTAAGAAACATGACAATGTCACTGGCAAGGTGGCCTTGCTGGCTATCTGGCCAGAGACCACCTGGTGGAGCCAGCCCCACCTGGTAGGTGATAGTGGCTGATAAAGTTGCCAGCAGGAACAAGTACTTCCTCAGGTTCCATAGAAGCTCTGCTTCATCAGCACTACTCGGTGTTTGGTCATCACACTGGTGTTTTTGTTGCTGACTTGTGGTATTGTGAGGTTCATGACCATCACCAGGCTGTGGCTCGGACTCCATGACCATGAGCTCATAGAACCAATGCAGATCTCAGCTAAGAATTTGAAGCCTGAAGGTTGCCACGTTCATTTATCATTCTTCGGACTCTTAATATGCCCAGGTTCTGGTCCTTATTATTATCTCCAAAAGTTAAGAGGGTGTGAAGAAAACAAACGGTGACATCAAATCCAATGACAAATTTATCACCAGAAACAGTCAAAAGGATACTAAAAATAGCTTTGGATTTTAGCCACCAAGAAATGATCATGCTTTTGTCAAAAAAATTAAGACGAAACAAAGAAACTAATAGTATTTCAATTCGGTTATTCCTAGTGGATTCCCAGCTTTGTGTAACTTTTTCTTTTGCAATCAAAGCTTTGTGTAACTGTTTCAGTTAAAGTATCTCTTTGCAGTAGACCAACATAAACAGTAAATCAGGTCTGAATCCTGCGGTGAGGTATTTCTACGCTATTATGTAAGAGTATTTATTTTCCAACTTACCTTTCTTTTATTATCCTCTCCCTGATTATGAGCTTCTTTTTTCCCTTCGATTAAATCATCTTCAGAAAACTAATTCTGACATTCACAATTTGTCCAGTAGTATTTTTTTCTCAATCCTGCACAAAGTAGACTGTTTCCCCTTGTTCTTGTCTTTTTAGTTGACCTGGTTGATCTTGGACTTACTGTTGATAGCAGTGTCTAATCTTAGTGTGTCAGCAAATCTGCTTGCAGATCACACATGGCAAAATATTTTAGTCTCAAACTGTCAAAAAAAAAGTCTCATTTTCCAATTACAAGATTAATAGTATGGGTGTTCATTTATCAAATATTCAGATTATACATTATGAGGTATACCAAACTAACCCCTAAAACGGAACCAAATGTATCAACTTAACTATACCATTCCTCTACTTGCTTTAGGGCCATCCGGTGCATAGATCACGTGATTCAAACATATTGGCACACCTATTTCCAACCAAACATTCGAATTACTTGTCATTTATCAATTTTGGGAATAAATGCATTAATATAGGTTAGAACTGCACAATGAACCTTGTGCACACTTCCCTGATCCGCAGGCACTTGTGTTACCAGGGGTTCTACCCTGGTACACTAGTACGCGAGGAATGCAAACTAGTTTCTTTCATTGCTAGGGCAGATAGTGATGAGAAAACATACAGGTTCTGTTATTCTGTTATCCTAGTCTTCCTCGAATGAATAAATGCTTGGTACTACACTCAGTTTATTCATGGATATTTTTCTTTTAAACTTGGATATTTAGCTTTCACTGGCTACGAATGTTGATGGCAGGCCCACACTGAAGCAAAATCATTTAGAGCATATAAGCAGATGCACTGTCCAACCTGGCATTCTGAACCTCCTAAAATCAGGTCCTCATCCCAATAATTCCACTGAGTTTGGGCCACAGATGGCCCATGCGGATTAGTTTGGCAAGCTGAGACGCAGTGTTATTTGTGCAATCTCCTGGCACTTCGCCAAGCAGTTGATGCGTCGTGTTACAGAGAAATTCATCAGACACTGACAAGGGCTCTTCCTGATGGTCCCTGTTGATGGAATTTCATCACAGAAACCAGGGAGGTCCTGGTAGTCCCGCCAAAGATCAGCTCCTTCCTCTCTTGCAAAAAAGAAAGGAAGGTTTATTCCTGCCATGTCTCTCCATCCTTGAACAAGTATCTTCCAACCCCCCTCCCCTCCTTGAAATTTTATTTATAAAATCAGAGAAAGTACAGTGCCTAGAAATAATGCATACCCAAAATATCCTCATACCTAGACATTATTTACACAAAAATAACAGGGCAACTCAACTCCGAATCCAATGAAGGTGTCAGTGTCTCTGTGTTGATAAAATACTAGTGACACCACCCTGCAGTAAACGACTGAATTGCTTCATTTTCAAAGAGACTATTTAGCTAAAATTACATCCTCACTTTGGAACATTACTCCTATTATCTCTCTTTCAGTATTGTTCCAAGGATTGAGTATCTATGCAGACTGTTTTGCCCCTCTCCACGAGATGCTTATTCTGTTGTCATTGCAAATTTGGATATTGTCAGTTAGCATTCTCTACCGCTAATAAATATTGGCATATTGCATTCCTGGGTTACCATATGATCTGCATATTCATGTAGGCAAACAATTTTTACTTCAGAAGGTAATTCCACATATTGTTAACTAAGAAAAAAGAACCATTTCACATCTCACAGTTGTCATCTGTATTATCTTTTGCTCACATTCAAAGAATGCACCAAATAAAACTACATGATGGCCTTGAGCAAGAATAAAACACAAATTGCAACTTTGGAGGTTGTGTCTATCTCATGATAGACTGAACAAATGTCACAACTGAGACTACTCTTACACAGGCAGAGGACTTTTTCCTGGTTCCCCGTCAGATTGTTGATTGCTTGAATCAGTTGCAACAGAAGCACCTTTCCAGACATCGCACCCACTTTTTCCACTTCTCCTTCACTAACCTTGCCACTTCGTCAAATGACAACACGACATGAATGACGATGTAGATGATCACGGCAATGACGAGTGCAAAAATGTATGCAGATGTCTTCAACTTCCTGCAGCTGCCCGCGGCATATGCCCCAAGTAAACCAAGCAAGTCCAAGACCATTGCTATTTTCATGGCAAAGAGAGATCTCTTGTACTTGCTTATTGTGTTGTTCAGTAGGAGGATGACCATGACCATTGAGGCCATGAATGCTGTGGCGTTGCAATAGAAGAATACCTTGTACCGTGTTAGGTTGGTATCATGGAGGATTGGGTCACCTGCAAAATGGCCATCCCGGTCATCAGGCCAAACCCCTCCTGGCGGAAGCAGACCGGCTTGGTATGTGACAGTGACTGCAAGAGTTCCAATCAGCATCAAATCTTTGCGCCATTTGTGCTCTGTTCTCTTACTATCAGTATCATGTATACTTCTCGTGTGATTCATTGATGGATTTTGGTGCTTAGAAGGCCGCAGCAACTCATTCCACTTATCTTTTGGTGTCAGAACCAGGACTTGAATCATGACATAGACAAACACTGCAAGAACAACAAGAATGACATAGCCAGATGTTGACACCTTTCTGCAGTTTCCAGTAGCAAAAGCACCCATGAGGCTGATCAGATCAACCAGTACACATGCACGTAGCGCATAGCACTCCAGACCTTTCTTGCATAGCCTCTCGCTAACAAGCAACAGAATTACTGCCAGGGATGCCATGAATGCAGTAGCATTGAAGTAGAAGAACACCCTATAGTGGTTTCGGAACTCGTCACGAAACACTGGGTAACCTGCTCGGTGTCCGTTACTGTTGTCAGTCCAAAAGCCACCTGGTGGGCTTATACCAGTTTGGTATGTGATAGAAGCTGCTAGAATTGCGAGCAACATCAGAAACTTTCGCCTCTTCTGCAAATCTTTTTTTTCTTCAGGAGTAGGTTCAGAAGAACCAGGATTTTGGGAGGTTCCTGCCATGGAAGCCCCAGTATTCCCTGATGTGCTCTCAGTATTCCCTGCTGTGCTCTCAGTATTCCCTTCTGTGATCTCAGTATTCCCTGCTGTGCTCTCAGAATTCCCTGCTGTGCTCTCAGTATTCCTTGCTGTGCTCTCAGCATTCCCTGCTGTGCTCCCAGTATTCCCTAGTGTCCTCTCATATAGAATATGAAGTACAACATAGGCGAACACTAGGAGGACTAGGACGAACACATATATGGATGTTGAGAACTTCCTGCTGCTTCCAGCGACGTAGGCTCCCATAAGACCAAAGAGCACCAGTGTCATTGCTGTTTGCAGTACATGACGCTTCATGGCATGAATGGTAATCAACTGGCTCTGGAGTAGGATGATGATGGCCAAAGAGGCTACAAATGCTGTGGCATTGCAATAGAAGAATGCCTTGTAGCGCTTCGGACTGATGGCCTCCAAAATTGGATCACCAGCAATATGCCCATCACTGGTATCTGTCCAAAAGCCTCCTGGTGGATTCAGCCCAGCTTGGAAGGTAACTGTGGCGGCAAGGATGCCAAGCAATAGAAGGTATGTGCGCAACTTCTGGAAATTAGTGCCTCGAGTGCTGTTTTCTGGCTGAACTTGTACTGGTATGCTAGGTGGTTCTAACAAGTCAGTGATGAAAGTCCTCAGCTTCTCAACCATTTCTTTATTTTTATTTTTCACACGTGTGATGGTACCCTCAACATATGCTGACTTAGGCAGAGCAGGTTCAATACACTGAATGATGAGGTAGAGCAATACTGCACCAACAAGTGCAAAGACATAGATCGATGTATGTACCTCCCTGCAACTTCCAGCAGCATATCCCCCCATAAGCCCAAAGAGACTGACTACCACACACAACCGCAGAGCATTTGACTTGACAACATGATCCACCGCTGTTTGACTGAGGACCATGATGATGATGACAAGCGATCCAGCAAAAGCAGTGGCATTGCAATAGAAGAAGGCCTTGTATCGGCGTGGATAGTGGTCTCGCAGCACCGGATCACCAGGAATGTGGTTCCTGTTATCATCAGACCAGAAGCCACCTGGAGGGGTTAACCCTGCCACATATGTCACTGTTGCTACCAATGTGGCAAGAACCAGCAAGGAGCTGCGATTTCTTTCAAGATCTTCCTTTTCTTCTCTCTTCTTTGAAGCCTCATCTGTTATTCTCTCTGCATTTGAAGCCACTTGGCCATCTGTTATCCTCTCTGGACTTGAAGCCTCTTGGCCATCTGTTATCCTCTCTGCATTTGAGGCCTCTTGGCCATCTGCTATCCTCTCTGCATTTGAGGCCTCTTCGCCATCTGTTATCCTCTCTTCCAACTGACCTGCTGGACCTTGCTCATCTGCTGTCTTCCCTGATCCTGGTGTCATTATGTGCCCAAGAGTATTCTTCCAATATGCACGAATACCCCAGAACATATCTCGCAGACATTGAGGTGCCAAGTGCTTGAAGAATACCACATGGAGTGTGACATAGGCGAAGATGCCAAGGAGTAACACCCAGATGTAAACAGAGGTCCTCACCTCCCTGCAGCTCCCAGCGGCGTAGGCCCCCATGAGCCCCAGCAAGCCAAGAATCATGGCGAACTGGAGCGTGCGGAGCCAGACCGCCTTATGGGTCAGCTCCCTCATCAGGAGCAGTATGAGCACCATGAGCGAGGCCCCGAACGCCGTGGTGTTGAAGTAGAAGAAGACAAGGTACCGCCTGGGGTAGCTGGACCTCATCACGATGTCGCTGGCGACGCGGCCCTTCTTGCTGTCCTGCCAGAAGCCGCCCGGCGGGGCCAGCCCCGCCTGGAACGTGATGGCCGCCACGAGGATGGCCATCAGCACCAGGTACTTCCTCAGCTTCAACAGAAGCTCGGCCTCGTCGGCGCCGTCCTGCTGCAGCTGCCCCGGCTCGGCCTCGTCGGCGCCCTCTTGCTGCGGCTCGTCGGGAGTGTTGCCGGCAGCTGCAAGGGCATGGGCATTGCCATTCTGCTCTCTGGAATCCTCCATAGCTCTGAGATTCCTTGAAAAATCTCTAGCTCCTCGCTAAAGATTGTAGCGTATGTGGGTTTGCAAGATTGAGGTGAACTACGCGGCGCTGGTCTTGGTCTCTGAGAGTTCCACAGTGCCACTGCACAGGAAGGGGGGAAGTGGACAAGATAATATTCCAACCCACCAATAATATCCCATGGAGAAAAACGTGGACCGTTTCAAATGGCCGAAGCTTCGCCGTTGTGGCCATAAAAACGCAGCAGTCCTTTTCTGCAGTCTACTCCTAGCGAGTCCTAGCTTCATGCAGCATATTTACTACACTCCTACCCAATTTGGAGTAGCACAAACTTACGTGGGCAAAATATGTGCTTGGTTCAGATAATCAGATTACATAGCCTACAAAAACATCTTACATTTCTCTACATTTTAAGACGGAGGTAGTACATTCCTACCTAATTTGGATCAGCACAAACTTATGTGGGCAAAATATGCGCTGGGTTCAGCCTAATGAGATTACGACATATTTACCAAATCCATGCCTACCTAGTTGCAATAGGATATTGCTCCCTTGTAGTAGTACAGTACTGTCAAGCCATAATAGTACAACATACAACTTGCACAAACATCCAAGACAGTGTTCCAAAGCCTCTCAGACATCTCATGTAGTATTTCCATCTGAATATAGCACTAGTATGTTGCTTTCAAGGGGATCAGTCATTTGTTCCCTTTAAACTCCTATCCTAGCTCTTTCCTTTGCCCTTTCTATCTATCTTTCTCATCTTAACTAAATGAACCTCGAGAATATACGAAAAGTTGTGATGCCTGAAAGTTTATCTATCACTATTTCAATTTCAGGGCTACAACAGGTGTGTGACGTGTGTGTGAACATTGGACTGAGACTTGGCTCTTCTAGTTTTCTTAATACTACTACTGTGCAGAGGTTTGTTGGGGTGCTCTGTGACTGTGCCTGTGCCTGTGTAGTATCCAGCGAGAATCGTGCTAGATTTACTTTATTGAAGTGCCAAGTGCATGGCAAGCTAATACAGTATAATGCCATTCAAGTACCAGGCTGCCACAGGGACAGAGATCGGCTTGTTTTTTAAGTCCGGCCAGGACGACAAGACAGCAAGCTGCGACCAGATGCGTGCATCGTCGGACCGAAGACTTGCCAATCCCAAGTCTTCGTGCCTGTCCCCTGGGTCCTAACACCAACCGGTTAAGATAATGCAATCCCATTTCCCACTAGTTTCACACAGAGGAGGGGGTGATCTTTTTCTGAACTTTTGCACATTGATAACTAAAGCACCCATCACAGCGCAAGTGCAATGGAAACGCAAGAAGATAAGAGCAAGCAGCTGGGCGCATGCGTACCTTTTTACTGTAGCAGCAGGCGCCTCGGGTACTGCAGCAGCAGTGCAGCTGGGCCGAGCGGCAGGCGTTCACGGCCGCCGCGAGCTGGCCAGGAAGGTCACCCAATAGCCATTTTGCAGGACACTGGAGCGTTAGGGCATCTCCAGCCGCGCCCCCAACAGGCCCCCCAAGTCACTTTTTCGGTGCCGGCGTCGAAAAAACGGTCCAGTCGCGCCCCCAGGATGCCGAAAATCGCCGATTCGAACCTTTTTTTCGTCCGGCGGTCACAGGCCGAACCCGGCGCGTTGGGGAGCCGTTGGAGGCTCCGGCGCTAGGGAAAAGCACGCCTGGCCCACATCGACAGGAGAAAAGTCAAGGTTTTCTTCCCCCGACTCGCCTCGCACCCCCGCGCCCTCGACCACCACTAGCTATATCCCGGCGACGGCCGACGGCCTACTCCGCTAGATAGCCATTCTCCGCCGGAAAATAGCAGCGCTTCGCCGCGGCAGCCCCTCCCGCAGCAGCTGGGCGTTTCCGGCCGCCGTTTCCGGCCGCGGAGGCGCGGTTTAACGGCGGGTACACGCCCACCGAGCGCAAGGTGTTCGGCGTTTTGACTGTGCCGGTGATGGACTCAGATGAGGAGGAAGAGCTCGCCACGCTGCTGGAGGAGGAAGCCGCGACCGACGTCCAGGAAGAAGAGCATCTGATGGTGCTCGCCGCCCTCGCCCAGCTGCTGGCGAGTAATGAAAAGCCGCGTCGAGGTGGCTCGGCGCCGGGGCGGGTGAAAGCAAAGAACCGGCATCGTCTGCACGGCTACTGCATGCTCTACTCCGACTACTTCGCCGATGCTCCACTTCATGGCGAGAGAACATTTCAGCGCCGTTATCGGATGAGCCGAAAGCTCTTCGTCAGAATTGTAAATTCCATCCGGGAGTTCGACAACTACTTCAAGTGCAAGATGGATTGCACTGGCGCTCTTGGATTCACCTTCATCCAGAAGTGCACGACAGCGATGAGGATGCTTGCATATGGAGCTCCCAGTGATTCACTCGACGACTATGGGCGCATGGCCGAGTCCACCAGCATAGAGTGTTTCTACAAGTTCTGTCGGGCAGTGGTGGCAGTGTTTGGGCCACAATACTTGAGAACATCCAATGCGGAAGACACTGCTCGGATCCTAGCCCAGAATGCAGCAAGAGGATTTCCTGGGATGCTTGGAAGCATCGACTGCATGCATTGGAAATGGAAGAACTGCCCATTTGGTTGGCAGGGGATGTACAAAGGCGCCAAAGGCGGTTGCAGTGTGGTGCTTGAGGTGGTAGCCACACAGGACCTCTGGATTTGGCACTCCTTCTTTGGTATGCAGGAACTCACAATGACATCAATGTGCTGCGGTGCTCTCCTGTTTTTGCCAAGCTCGTTGAGGGCCATTCTCCTCCGGTGAACTTCGAGATCAATGGGCACCAATACAACAAGGGGTACTATCTAGCTGACGACACCTATCCGAGATGGTCGATATTTGTGAAGACGATCTCAAACCCTGTGGCAGGAGGCAAGAACGCCTGGTTTGCGAAGGTTCAGAAGGCTTGCAGGAAGGATGTCGAGCGGGCATTTGGTGTGCTCCAATCTCAATTCGCTGTTGTTCGGTACCCCGCTCAGACCTGGTCGAAAGATTAAATGTGGGAGATCATGACTTGTTGTGTCATCTTGCACAACATGATCATCGAAAGACCCAATGTTTGACACTGAACCATACTACAGGCAGGGTCCTTTAACCGAAGTTGATCACCAGCTACCGGCAACTTGGACTGCCTATCTCAGTATGCGTCAGGAGATCCGAGACCCACAGGTGCATCATCAACTGCAGAAAGATCTGATTGAGCACCTATGGAGGCTCAAGGGGGACACCGCGTGATGAAATACGAGTTTTTATTTGTTGAACTATATAATTTGTATTGAACTATTTTTGTTGTAGTATTTTGTTGAAGTATTTGATTTTTCTGTGATGAAATATGTGTGTGTTGATAATTGAACGCCGAATCCACGCCGAATATGGGCATATTCTTGCCTATATGGGCCGTTTATTCGTCGAAATTGGGCTGCAAAGTGGGCCAATTTCGGCTCCTGGAGGCGAGCTGGGGGCGACGACTGGGCGCAAAATCGCCCCAGCGCCGAGTGTATCGCCGGCTCGCCCCCAGGCGGCGCTTTTAGACGCTCCCTGGGGGCCAACGGCTGGAGATGCCCTTACCTCGAACACCTGCCGGGCGATGCTACCGGCGCATTTCGTCGAGTACTTGTCGGGCTATGCCGCCGGCTCATTTCGTCGAACACCTGCCGCGCGCTCCTCGCAAGCTCCGCCGTGTGCCCACCCAGCCACTCCGTCGCAGGCTGGCCACCTCCTGCGCCGAGGCGACCCAGCGGCAGCGTCGCCGGTGGGAAACATGCTGCGGTTGCGCTGGTGTCGTGCAGCGCGATCAGCTGGACCATCAGCGAGAGAACTCCTAGAGACGTCATGTGCGTGTCGTCGCCGATCGAGTTGAGGTGGAATACGTCATCGAGGTCGATGTCATGCCTTTGGCTCCGATGACGTTCATCGAGTGATGCGACACCCGGCAGTCAGCCAGGCAACGCGTGATGCAAGAAGGGTGGCTCCGTGAGCCGGGCTTGCTGGACAGTGGGGATAGGTGTGCATCAAACCCAACGCCGAGTATCAAATTGGACACACCGTCCCCGAACGGTGGATAGAGGGCGGTCATTTAACCAGGGTGCACCAAATCACCCTATTTTAAACGGATATTTCACAAAAATTGATGAAAACATGCAAATTAGAAGATACTGTATTTCTTAAATTTTAATATATTTACAACCAAAAGGACAAAATTTAACAAAGTTCAACTAAACTGAACGAATTTTAAACTCTAATAACTAAACTAATCAATGTGACGCACCAGACGATGAACTCGTAGTCATGTCCTTTGAGGCCGTCGGAACTTTCATCGTCGTCCTTCAGTGGTGAACGACCTCCTAAGGGCCTCAACAGCCTTGGTGAGTCGCCACAGTGCGATCGCGGCGCAACCGCTCCACCTTACATGGACAATCGACCACACCCAGCTCGTGGCGACGGTCGGGCGTGGACTCCGGCCCACGTCGCTACCCTTGCCCTTGTTGGTGAAGGCACGAGAGACGAGCTCGAACTCGGCCAACTCGATCTTGCAGAGCTAGTCACTGGTCCGGTGCCGGACGTGGGCGGGCGTCCGCCCGGTGGTACTGGATAGATCCTTGACCCAGGCTAACGCAAGGTCCAGGTCGGCGTGCACCCAGTCCGACGCCACAACCGACATCGCGAAGGTTGAACATCGCACCGTGTTGTGCCGCTCCTTGCGCGCCACATCCGAGGTAGTAGAGTAGGCGATCGTGTGCATTAGCGATCGTCGGGGAGGGCACCTTCTCCTCCTTCACAAAGGTCATGCGCCACCGAGGTTGCAGTGCCACCTCCTTGTAGCATCCGGAACTATGCGGTGGCGCTGAGGACGTCGGCTCCTGAGGTCTACTACGCAACTTTATTGTTGCAAATTCCCCTCAAGTGGATGACCTAAGGGCATCTCCAACGCCTACCCTCAAACCTCCAGCATTCGTCCGGACCGCGGAAGCCATCCGACGCAGGCCTA